TCCTTGGTTCCACTGGGAACAAAAATGGAAAAATTCCAAAATGGGAATTTCTGCTTAGAAGTATTTGGGTCTTGGTGAATGATGACCTCTTAAGGTCTTAGTAAGTGAGGGTGTCCAAGGGTCAGAAGTAAGGAACCAGAATCTCACTAAATGGCTGTTCTGAAATTTGTCCTTGAGTCTCCAGGAGGTAACAGGAAAAAACATGGTATTTTGCTATTTTAAAAGTGCGGTTATGAAATGGTCTCCACTGACGGTTTCCCAGTTTTCCTTTACTCTGAACTCTGAATACAGAGACAGGTGACTTGGAATTAGCCTTGTTCCTACTTCTCCATCTCCTTGTTCTGGCCATAGTCCCCGAGTCTGCCCTTGCAGTCAGGTGCTGTGGCAGTGAAAAACTCCAACCTGGGAGTCAGGAGCACTGCGTAAGTAACAGTTCTGGCTTTGTGGCCAGCCACCTGTCACCTGGGCAGGTCAGATCACCTCTCTAGACCTCCATCTGCTCTTCAGTAAAAAGAAGGAGTTAAATTAGATGGCTAAGTTATGGATGTCTTGACATTCTTAAATTCCTCTTTAGTAAATATTAAACTATTGCCTCTTATTACTGGCCACAAAGAACTCAAGTATCTCTGAATTATCTTTACAGACTGTGCTAGTCCAGGGCCTATTACAGTGAAAAGGACCTGGTATTCTGGCCCCAACTTGGCCATTTCCTAACTGAGGAAATGTGTGAAGGCATCCGCCGCTGAGCCCATTTCTCCATCTTGAAATGTGGCCCAATGTCCCTATCATAGAGCTTTTGAGAATGACAATATTTGTAAAGCATCTAACACACAGTAGGTGCCCAGGGATCTTCTGTTGAATAGGCCCAAGTAGAGGTAGTTGTAACTAAACTACTGGCTTCCAAAATGAAATGCTGTTCCTGCTCCGCCAATGACTTGGGACATATTTATCCCCATTAAAACTCCAGTTCCCAGCAAAGGACATGCTTCGTCGCACCAGCCAGCACACCTGGAAATAAGGAGTTCTATTAGTTTCCCTAATGGGCTTGTAAATAGCTACAGATTTAAGCCTATGGATGCAAAACACTGGCTTGATCTGAAAACTGGGGGCTGACTGCCTTCACCCACGAAGAGAACTTTCAGAGCAGCCAGTTGTTCTAAAAAAAGATCACCCCAATTTTTCTAATTCCAGACAGGCCCCTTCTCTGTTGCTCCACAACCTAGAATCCCCAAGAGGGTCCAGGATGGAAGGCAGCTTAGAGAGCTCTAGTTCAACCCCTCACCTGACAGGGACAGAAACTGAAGGTCCAGGAGAGAATGAGCCATGTCCCTGGTAACACAGGCAGTTAATCCAGGTGGGGGTGAAATTAAGTGATCAAATAGACCATCAGTGTACCACACTGTATTTCCTACTCTGCACAGCACCTTCACACACATGTGCCCCCTTAATGATCCTGTGAAGTAGATATTGGTGTGTACATTTGACAAAGAAGGAAATAAAAGTTCACAATGCTGAAGGGACTTCCCCATGATCAACTCCACATCACCTGGACTCCCCCACATCATGTGGCTGATCCAGAACTTCTTTCTGTGGCTGTTGGAAGCATCAGAATGTCTCTGAAGGGAGGCAGATGTGCTGGGGCTTGCTGGGCCCAGAGGTTTAACTTGTAGGACTTGGAGGGAAGGGCTGCTGTGTGTGTCATAGTGACTGTTGAGTGTGGGGACAAAGTCATTCCCATACTCCGGGTCAGAGAAGGTGGACCATGTCACCCCCAAAGGTCAGCTATATGTCAGACTCATAACAAATGTCAGAGTATCAAGAAATGTGGCCCCTGCCCTCACGAGGCTGATGGCTTACCTGCAGAGACAGAGGTAACCCCCGTGAGCCACTCAGAAAATAGTATCATTCAGCAATAAATAAGAGCAGACTACTGATGCACACAGCGCAGATGACGCTCAAAACTCCATGTCGAGTGATAGAAGCCAGGCACAAAAGAATGCCTACTTTATGATTCCATTCATACAGCGCTGCAGAAAAGACATCTCCAGGGACAGAAAGCAGATCCATGGTTGCTTGAGGGTGGGGACAACTGAAAAGAGGCACTGTGAAGCCTCTTCAGGTGATAGAAATGTTCAGTATTTGATTGTGGTAGTGGCAGTTACACCAATATATACATTTTTAATAAAGTTCTAAAAATTCATTGATAAGTACACTTAACATGGGTGTGTTTATTATACATAAATTTGACCACAATCAAGCTGATTATTTTTTCGAGACAGAGTCTTGCTGTGTTACTCAGGCTGGAGTGCAGTGGGGCAATCTCAGCTCACTGAAACCCCCACCTCCTGGGTTCAAGCAATTCTCCTGTCTCAGCCTCCCAAATAGCTGGAACCTGCCACCTGCTACCACACCTGGCTAATTTTTGTATTTTTAGTTTAGATGGGGTTTTATCTAGTTGGTCAGGCTGGTCTTCAACTCCTGACCTCAGGTCATCCACCCACCTCAGCCTCCCAAAGTGCTAGGATTACAGGCATGAGTCACCACTGCACCCAGCCTAAAGCTGGTTTTTAGAAAGCACACAGTCCTGGCTCTCATGGACTCTCAGTCCGGTGGAGAATAGAGACATTAATACAGTCATTGTGTAAAGAAGTACAAACTAATTTTAACTGGGATGAGAGCTATGAAGAACATCTTGTGGAGTTTGAGAGTGTATAATAAGGACTTGGTCAGTTCAGACTGATTGGTAACACTCTCCCAAGGGGTAGCTTTAATCTGAAGTAGGCATGAACCAGGAAAGATGACTTGGGCCTCGGGAGCAGCATTTGCTAAGGGCCTGTGGCTGAAGGGGATCCTATCAGGACCATTGGAAGAAGGGGCAATGAGGATGGAGCAGAAGGAGGGGAGGAGGGTGGAAGGCAATGCCTCTCCAGAGGTGAGCAGGGGTATCCCATATGGAGATTTCTTAGGCCCAGATGAGAGTTTGCATTTTTCTTGAGAGATGAAAGTCCACTGAAGTGTTTGAAGGGGTGGTGGAAAGGGAAGTGACTAGCAAAGTTGTTGGGATAACACTGTGGAGTTAGTACTCACCTCTCCCTCCTTCTGGCTGTAAGGTTCCAGAGATTAAAATCAAGCCTTGCTAATCTATGTAGCCCCCAAAGAAATTTCAGCAGCACTGCATATGAAGTGATTGCACAAGAACTGTTCTGAATGAGCAAATGAATGGATGAATTCTCTTAGGTTCCAAATATGTGCTTATCCAAAGTCTTCTGGTAAATGATAAATTTAGACTAATTTAATTATCTCCAAACTGAAGATGTGATAACATGTTGGGCAATATGGAGGTATGGGCCTGTTATCCTCTGTTATCCATGAGCTGCTGAGCACAAAGGGCACCCACTGCCAGGGAGCCAATCAGAGTCCATCTCTTCCCCTGGCCCTTACCCTTATAGCATGTCCCTCAGCTTGTCAGCCAAGACCCTCTGGGGACCATCCTACCTGCACAGTGGCCTTATTGTCCCAAGTCTCCTCTACACGCAGTTGGGATCCAGATGTCGCAACCCACCAAGCTCACTGAAAACACAGTGTGCATTCTCAGGGCTCACTGCAGGCTCTTTCCTCTCCCTAAAGGTCACCTTTGTTTCTCAGATCCACTGGGAAACCACTCACCATAGCCTTGAAGACCCAACGCAAGTACCTGCTTCTTTGGAAGCCTTTTCTGCCCACTTCACTCTGTTAGCTACACCGCATACCTGTCTCAGGTACTGTACTTGTGACCCGATCCATTTACCTGTGTTCCTTCTAATTCAAACACACCCTTCCAGCACTCTTATCTGTACTGTTTTCCTATCTGCACTCCTATTTTCTAGTTTGAGGCAGGATGAGATGGGATGTGATGGGTTATAGTTGAGTTTAGGTAGATCCCTTAAAAAGACGACCAGAGGGATTGGGGGAAACACTTTTGCACTGCCGGTGGGAATGTAAATTAGCACAGCCACTATGGGAAACAGTGCGGAGATTTCTTAAAGAACTAAAAGTCAAATTACCATTTGATCCAGCAGTCCCGCTACCAGGTATTCACTCAGAGGAAAATATATCATTATACAAAAACGATACTTGTACACATATATTTATAGCAACACAATTCACAATTGCTAAAGTATGGAACCAGGCCATATGCCCATCAATCAGCGAGTGGATAAAGAAATTGCTATACACACACACACACACACACACACACACACACACACACCATGGAATACAACTCTGCCATAAAAAGGAATATAATAATGGCATTCTCAGCAACCTGGATGGCATTGGAGACCATTCTTCTAAGTGGGAGGCAGGTGAAAGGTAAAAGACTACTACAGTGTACACTGCTCGGCTGATGAGTGCACTAGAATCTCAGAAATCACCGCTAAAGAACTTATTCATGTAACCAAGCACCACCTGTTCCCCAAACACCTACTGAAATTTTTATGAAAGAAAAAACATACTAACTCTTTTCAAGGAGGTACATTTCTGAATGATATGGAAGCCTATAAACAGAATTTTCCCTGTGCTTTTGGGCCTTCATTGGTTTTGAACCAGTTTCCCCAGACTTGTAGCCCAAATAATGTGCAAGTTGGTGCACACCTCTTGGTTTTCATACTGAGATCCTTGGGGCTCTTCCCCAAACGCTGCCCCTTCTCTGCACTTTGTTTTCTGTTCATGACTTTCTACCCTCCAGCCAGGACACACCAGCACCCTTTGGTTAAGGAGGCAAATCCTCTCACATTCACAGTGCAGAAATCTTCTGCAGCAAAAGGTATGTGTTGGCTTGACTTCTCATTCCAGCCTGAGGAAGCCTAATTGTAAAGGTGTTTGTTCAGTTGTTTTAAATTGAACGTTGAATGTGGAAACTATAGGATTTTTACTTTTACACGCTGTAGAAGTATGGACAAAGTTGCAAAATCCTTCATGAAGGGATATTTCCTTCTTCCTCTTATGTCCTTAAAAACAGATTCATTTCTCCTTTGATCTTTTAATGAAAAATTAGCTTTTCTTTCTGGCAAGATCTTAGGGTGAGGTTTAGAACAAATTTCAATTAGGCATAGAAAGTAAATGCAGTGTCTGGTTGGGGTAGAATCATTGGTTTTGGAATTAGATCAATGCGGGTTCAAATCCCAGCTCTGCCATATTTGTGAAAGCATGACTTGCAGATAGGTGACCACAAACACCACAGCCATAATCAGCCATAATGATGGTAATGTCTCTCATGCTGAGGTAGGACTATTTCCAAAGCACCTAGCTCAGCCCCTTTATGCTCAAGCTTCATTTAATCTTCACGAAAGGTACCCCAAGAGGCAGTTTACATTGATAGAAGAGGTAACTGAGGCTCGGGCCCCATATGGTTAAGAAATTGAGATGAGTTTAAGAATGAAGATGAAGTGGTTTGAAGCTGGAACTCCTAGACACTCTGACATATTGTTGGGTAATTATTGCTATTACTCTTGACAGACTAACCTCTTGGATAAGACCTTGTAATTTATATAATGCAGAATCTTATCTTCCTAACTGGACTGTGATTTCTTTGATTAAAGTGTTTGCAATCTCCTTCATCTCTGTATTTCTCACCCCCCCAGTGGAAAGTGATTTGCACATTAGAGGTTCATGAACTATCAATTGAACTGACATAAGGGTGCTTTGGAAAACCTGCAGCTTTGGTTTTGCAACAGCAGACCCCTCTTTCCCTGTCTACTTGTCTTTTAGACAAATCATCTTAAATATGATGGATGCTTTATAAAGGTAAACATATCAAATGCAGAAAATTCAGAAACTTAAAGAAGAAGAAAATGATTTATAATTCTACTACCCAAAGGTATGGTTTTGTCTGATTTCCTTCCAGTCTGCCTATGCAGAGATTTATGTTATTGCTCTTTACAAATGTGTATATTTGCACATCAGGAGTGGAAAAAAACCTGAAAAATAATATAAGTTACTCAGAAATTACTCAGAACATCACAACCAACAGTTAGCTGTTGTTAATGTTCTGACACACGTTGACTTGACTTCACGTTTCAACCTGAGGAAGCCTAATTGTGAAGGTGTTTGTTCAGTTATTTTAAAATCTGACGTTGAATATGGGAAGTGTAGGACTTTTGATTTATTCTTAATGGCTGCATGATATTCCACTGTGTGGCCGAATCAAAAATCATTTAACCAGTTCCAAGCTGCTGGGCATGCAGGTTGTTTTCAGTCAGTTACTTTATACATACCAGTGAAATAAACATCCCTGCTGCCCCTGCTAAAGGATACTCTGGTCACTGACCAGGGGTAGAGGTAACTGGGGCAGCCCCACGTGGCTCTCAGACTTCAAAATCTGGGTTTCTTCGGTCTTCCACTATTGTTCTTTTCGGTAGAGGTCTGTACCCCCTGTGCCTCTGAGCCCATCCAATGCACTGGATTCATCTGGAGGAGCAGGTTTCTGGCATGGAGTTAACTTTGTGGGTTCCCCTAGGAATCTCCTGCAACTTTTCTAGTGTGTTGGCTTCTTATTTCTCTTGTAGGTGGACACACAAGAATAGAGTGCAAAAAATAGAAAAAAGAGATTTTTTAAAACTAATTTATGCACATAAAAAACATCCCAACAGTTTAGAGAGAGCAAAAAAGAAAAAAGTCATCTCTCTCTCTCTCTCTCTCTCTCTCTCTCTCTCTTCCCCAGATGCCTTATTTCCTTCCTAGAGGCAGCTGTTGTCCACAGTTTCTCCTGTTTTCTTCCAGAATTGTCTGCAGTCACCTCTCTATCTATCCACACAATCATCTCTATCCACCAATTCATTTGCTCAGCTCTTTTTTTCTTTTTATGTATATAACTAGCTATTGATCCACCCAGCCATCTATCTGTAGAAAAATCAGGAATGTTTAAATGAATGTTTATCACGAATACAGCAGTTCAGAGGAGGTTTTAGGAGTCAGGAACCTGGTCCCCAGCCCAGTCACCAACCCACTTTGTAATTTTGGCCAAGAGGCTCTGCTGCTCTCAGCCTGGTTCCCTCTGTGTACAATGAGGCTGACCACACTCCCAGGGGGCGGCGAATGTGCCCTGGAAAGTGAAGACATGGAGCTGATGGAAAGTCCCATGCAAGGTCTGCTCTCCACTCAGGCCTGCAGTGAGGGAAGACCCACCGTAGTTTTCTACCAAAATGAGGGGAACAGAAGAGGGCAAAGAGAAGCAAAGAAGGTAAGGGAGTATACTCCGGCACCCCCACTACCTGGTGGAAGGGATAGGGTGATCTTTCATAAACATTAGCTCATATGTTTTCAGGGAGATAAGGTGTTTAGTAAACGTTGTTGGAGGAGGACCTGGCCAGGAGAGCCACCCGCATGACCACCACCAGGACACACGGCTGCCTGCTCGGACTGGCTTCGGGGGCCTCTAGCTCGGCTTGCCCAAAATACAGGAACCAGCAAGTGGAGCTGACTCTATTTAGTGTAAATAGAGGCAAATGCTCTTGTGCTGAAGGACAAAGAGGTTGTGCAGGGAGAGGGACGGCAGCCTCCTCAGGTCAGGAGTCAGGGTCTGTGAGTACTGGGGCCCAGTATTTCCATGTGGGGTTCAGCTCTCTGGAGCTGGGCTTGCCTCAGGGGCTCTGTGTAGCACAACTCCACAGGGAGACATTGACATAAAATACCATGAAATGGTGCCCCCCGGAGTTGTGTGGCAGGGTACCTGGTGCAGGCACAAGGAAGTGGTCACCACTTGCTTACAGAGCTGACCCTCTGGGATCCTAGGAAACTTGAGTTGGCCACCAGGTCCCCTACCCTCCACCATTTACCCTCCCTTCAGCCACAGGAGGGCCCTGGGTGGCATCAGGTTGGCACTGGGCAGTAATCGTGTACTCTTCCTTATCATAGCAAGACTTCCCTTCATTCCCACACAGCCAGGTCAAGGGTGGCAGTGGCACCATATGCCTTCCCTGAGCCAGCCCTCTCTGGACCCTTGCCAGGGAGCAGAAATGTCACAAACGTACAAATCTGGGCTCAACGAGGAATGTCTTTGCTAACTCTCAGGGGCCCTAGGCATGGACAATGGACCAGATCTCATCCCATTTTCTTTTCCAATTAATGTTCTTGACTTGTTAACCAATGAGGAAATTCTACCATGGATTTGAAAAAATCATGATTGAAATTGAAATTGAAATTTTTGCATTTAACAAATTAACACAACACATACTCACCCAAACACTGACTTGGCAATGGTATTGAGTCTGAACTGGAAGGCCTTCATGAATGTTAGTTCCAGGATAAATTTCTCTCTGGCACTATTCTGTCAAAGAAAGTGAGAAGTTAGTGGTGATGTACTCCTCACTGGAGGCATATAAGCAGAATGGATACCACTGAGGGGAATCACTGCATAGGCCTCAGGCCGTCTGGGAAATGTGAACTGCAGGACATCTCTAGCACCAAGGCATATTTGGTTCTAAATCTAGTTGTAGAGAGGTTCTGGCTGGGTGCGATGGCTCACGCCTATAATCCCAGCTCTTTGGGAGGCAGAGACGGGTGGATCACCTGAGGTCAGGAGTTCAAGACCAGCTTGGCCAACATGGCGAAACCCTGTCCCTACTAAAAATACAGAAAATTAGCTGAGCATGGCAGTGCACACCTGTAATTCCAGCTGCTCAGGAGGCTGAGACAAGAGAATTGCTTAAACCCAGGAGGCAGCATTTGCAGTGAGCCGAGATCACACCACTGCACTCCAGCAGCCTGGACGATGAGAGCAAGACTCTATCTCAAAAACAAACAAACAAAAAAAGAAAGGTCCTTTTTGCTGACTTAGGTGTGAGCAGAGGCAGAGTCTGGGAGGTACCCCAGTCTGAGCAGCTTTTCTGGAACTGCATGGTGTTTGATGACATGGATTGAAAATCCAATTTCCAGCCCAGTGCCAATTTGAGGTTAAAGGATATATTTTACATTTGTCAATGAGTTTTGCTTTTCTGAGCCTCGGTTTCCTCATCTGTAAAATGGGAGAAACATTTCCTGATTTGTGAGGCTGTGGTAAAAACTAAATAAGATAGTGTATGTCCAGGCAAACTCAGATTCAGGCACACAGGTAGCACTCATATATGTGGCTGAGAGGTGTGAACTGAACTAAAACACTACATCAAAACAGATACAGAGCTGGGCACGGTGGTGCATGCCTGCAATTGCAGCTACTCAGGAGAATGAGGCGAGAGGATCCCTTGAGCCCAGGAGCTTGAGTTCAGCCTGGCCAACATAGAGAGACTCCATCTTTAAAATAAAATAATTAATTAAAGAAAAACAGATGTGGGGAGAAGCTCTCTCTGGCTTTCCCTCTGGGCTCCAATTCCACACTAGAATCCATACCTGGCAGCCCTTTTTGCTCTGAACTCAAATGCCTCGCCTTACTCTGGCAGTATTAGAACCCAGGCTTGGGTTCTGGGAGATGACGACAGGTAAGTGACCTCCCCTGGGGCTTTGCTGTAGCTTCCAAACACATACAGATAGACAGACAGTATCCTCATAATAATAACTACAATTTGTATGGCTCTTATTATTTGCTACTTACTTTCTGTGTGCCCATAGGCAAGATACTTAACCTCTCTGAGCCTCAGATTCCTTATCTAGAAACCAGAGAAAATAATAATGCTTATTCAGAAAGTGATTGTGAAAATAAAATTAGCTCATACATATAAAACAGAACAGTGCTTGATGCGCAGTAAATTCAAAATGTAAATATAATCAACACCATAAATACATGGAAACAGTATAAAATTAGTTGTTATTTGCCAGGCACTGTGCTATAAGCATATGCATGATTCTCAGAACAACCTTCAAGGTATCTACTATGATTATAATTCTCATACAACAGTTGAATAAACTGAAAAGTGAAGTAAATGTTGCCCTCGACCACTTGGCCAATAATTGGCACATCCGAAATTCGAAATCGATTGTCTTATTCCAAAACCAAGCTCTTAACTTTTATGTGCTCATCAGTGTGGAAGCAAGAGATTAGCAAATATTACTTATACCCCCTCCTTCATTAGTTAAAAAATAAACAACCACCACTGCAATGATGCCAGCAACTACTGATCTCAACTCCATAGGAACCCTCTCAAGCTACAAGCAGATGGCATCGATCCTGACTTTGCTGCTCTGAAATCCCTCAAGAGAGCCCCACATCAGGGGTCCTGAGTTTGCAGACAGTCATTAGAGACATCCTCGTTTGGGAAACAGCTGCCCGCCACCCTGATTTCACAGCTGGGGAAACAGGGCCTGGAGAGGAGATTCATTCATCTGGTCCCTCCGTTTTATGCCACTCCTTCCTCCTGCCCGTAACACCGCACCACGGAGCTTTGTCTCTCGGGGTCTGTTCATCTCAAATCCTTTTTCTGATTAGCTTGCTGTGCTGACTGCCACCGAGGTTCTCATCAGAGCCCTCACAGGGCCTTGGTTGTTTAAAAATTCTGTTAATTCAAGAAGTCCCTGCCACTGCTCCTGCCAGCACCAGGCTCACCCCTCTTTGGCTTTTGCATTCTTTGCTTCCTAATCCCATTTCTGGGGCTTAATTATGATTACACAGCTTTATTATGTAGAATTGATTTTAAGTAATGGCCCTAATTAAGAGTGAATTTTAATTAAGCTTAATTCAGAGCCTGCCTCCGATTGCCAAAGATTTGCAGCCTGAGAAGAGGAAAGGCTCTGCCAGTACACAAAACTCACACGCAACTTTGATCTTCACGCTGCTGGGCTGCAGAAACCAGATGGGTTTATACTATTTTCTGGCCTCAGGGTGCATTTCTTCACCAGGATGCAGTGCGTATGAGTTCTAGTCCACCTTCTCCTTCCACCCAGAGGCAAACTTGGAGCCCTGGCAATAAAAAAACAGAAGTAGGGAGCCTGCACCTTTGGGGTGAATATCATCCACACCACTCACCCTATTTTAGAAAATGAAGCTAGTCTACTTTCCTCCAACTGCTCATGAACCCATTCCACAGATGAGAAAACCAAAGAAGGCCAAGATACACACATGCAGTGAGGGCAGTGGAAAGACTGGAAATCAGCTCTGTTCCCCATGCCTCCACCCACTCTGTTCCAACACAGCCTTCCAGTAAGTGGCAATCATCTCTGATTTTGGCAGAAATCAACCTCCTTGAATTTCCTGCCTGACTACCTAAGCTACTGCTTCCCCGACTTCAGTGGCTCATATGCTGTGAAGGTGGGTCATCTGCATAAAAATGAAAAACATCTCCAACCAACTTGTTTTCAAATGAAAATTTTATCTTACCTTTAAAACTGCTATAAAGCAAAAGTTATCATAAAAATGTTAAAAAGGAAAAAAACAATGTTATTAAATCCAAATCAGAAACTATTGCCTTCTAAAGCCCTAAGAGTAAGGCTTGATCTGTCTTTAAAAAACAGAGATGAGGAGATAGTTCGACACAACAGCACCAAACTGAGACTTTGTCCCTAAGATAATTGGAAAGACTGAAAAAGAGTTGGAAAGACAATCATTGTGTCACTATGTGATACAGTGTTATTTGAAGTCGTGTCCAGGTGCCACCTAAAATCGACTCTCCTTTGTTCAACACTTTCAGGGACATGAATCTAAACCAGTTTAGCACAGGGTTCCAGGTCTTTTTGCCTCTGAGTAATAACAGCCCTCAACTGCCCCACAGATGACAAGATTCTGGGCAGAAATTCAGCTCTCCTAACCCCAGCCCTGGCCCAAGGACAAGGTATGGGCATTCCATCAGTGTTTCAAATAAAAACACAGTGAAATCAACATGTTCTCCAAGACTGGCTGGTGGAGGCTATTCATCTGCCGAGAAGGTTCGTGGCCGTCCAGGTCCTGAATGCCATTGCCACACTAGAATGTCTTATGATTCTGAAGTTCCTACCCTAGAAAATCACCCACTAAGAAGCCAAGCTCTGAAAACGTTTTGACTTTTCTAGAGGGAAATGGAAAGTGAAAACTGGAATTCAATTACCTTGAAAATAAAAGAGGCAATTTCACTCACAAATGTTATACTTAAAAGCTCGATATGAAACAGGCATTCAAATAAGTCTCAGGCTAAGTTAAAAGAAAAAGGGGAAAAAGAGAAAATCATGTATTAATCCTCTTCCCTCTACCCCTTCTGACTGAGTGAGTCTTCCTTAGACTCAAAAAAGATAAATGGACTTGAAACACGATTAAATAAGCATTTTGTGACTTTAATAATCCAAGCCACAGAAGTTATCTATTAAAAGTTGGGTATTTAGAAGACCCATTTGGTTAACCTAACCAGTCTAGTGACACAGAAACCAGCGCGCGTGTGGTGTTCTTCTGAGCAGAGCTGAAGCAGGGACTCCCTATTTTTCTCCCAAGGATTTTGGGGTAAAGTTATCACCAGACCCTTCAGTTAGCCAAAAACTCTGAGACACCCAATATACTCCCACTTTCTACATATAGGAAACGTCACTAAAAGAGAGGAAAAGATGATAGCCTTGACTGAAATAGAAAGGCGTTACAGACACTGACCCCAAACAACTCATCAGACATCATCATCCCATTGTAACCACAACACACTCATTCTTTCTTTAAATGTTCATTCCTGCTACGTCAAGGCAAGCCGTAGAAGTGGTTTTGTGACCACCATGATGGTTTCCCAAGGCAAATTTAGACAGCCTATTTTCTTCTCCCACAAAAAACGACACCCAGACTCTCCAGTGGTTGAATTCCTATTCCACAAGTTACCAGCTGTGAAACTTGTGCCCCAGTTTCCCCATCTGTAAAATGGAGATAACAGTAGCACCTACCTCACAGGACTGTTGTGAATATTAAATGAGATGGTGCTTAGCACAATGCATGGCACATAGCAAGCACTTGGTGGCCAATCAATGGTAAACATTAACCCTGGCTCGAGCTTACTGCTACGGTTTATCTTAGCAGCTCCTGACTTGTCTTTTAAGAAAAAATGTTCCTACGCTCAGAAGTATTCAGAAAACCTACAGCAAGGTGGTGAGAGACTTGACTCTTCAAGCCTCCGAGGTGTTTTTCTGTCCTCCTTCTAGTTTTCTGCCCATCACATTGGCCAAAGAGCTCTAGCCAGAGCTGAAGCAAGTGCTGATCACTTTCCTGAAAACCTGGCTGGCGGAGATGAGACCATCTCCACCAGCACAGGGAAGAGGTGTGTATTCACACAGCTTCCTCTTGGAAATCCATTTTGACTGTAGATCCAAAGAAAATCCTCGAGGCTCCTTGTGCACATGCCAAAATCTGCACACATGTATGCATTTCCTCCTCTCTATGCATCTCTCCTGCACATCTGGCCAAAATCAATCCCTGGAGGTAGCATCTTGCACATGTAGCTGTCCGGCCCTATGATAAAATGTGTTGTTTCTCTCTGAGTGAAGCTTAATACACCTCGGCCTGGGGATTTATACTAAGCAATAAAATCCACAGAATAGAGAAATGCAAATAGATTGTAGAATATAATATTATCATTGTCAACATAAAAGACTTGTTTACTGCCCCCCAAAAGAAAATACACCATAGTGTCATTTGTTTCATGGAATGCAAAAAGGGTTTCAACAACTAACAGGGCATGTTTCTGAGCAAAATATGCCCCGTATATGATGTTGGAATACATATTGTCAGTGGCCACTCATGTGTCTGTGTTCTTGCAAACAAACCTGTGGAACTGAGTCACGGAAGGTCACTTCCAGCCACCTCTCTGAGCCACATGGCACCTACTGAGCCCTGTTAACAAACAAACCAGACAATATAGGCTTAATAGAAGGGGAGGCCCTCTGAGGCAGATCATACTCCATCAGCACATCTTGGGATGAGGTGTTCGAGCAGTTGCTGACTTGGCTTCTTGAGAAACTAAAGAGAGTTGTGGTGGAGGCTGAATAAATGGATGGTCCATGTTGCTTTGGGCAAAGGGAAAACTTAAATAGAAGATGCAGCAGAGCATGTGGAAGGTGACAACTCCATCTTTTCTCTTGGAGATATCCCTCAACTCCCCCAAATGCTCAATATATCCTGTTGTTTTGTGTAGGGATTTGGGTATGAATCAGACCCAGTCACAGCAATTGTTTCATTTCTGTCTAGGAGGGCAAAATCTAAGTTTATAAAGCTTTAAACAGCCATAATTACCTGAATGACATTTTATGTGAAAAATATATTCTAACTAGTTCTCCCAATAGCCCTAGGAAATATACCCTGGGTATTATTATAGCCCATTTACAAGTGAGAAAACCGAGGCTTGAGAGGGGTGAAGTGCATTATCCATGGTCGCCTAGCCACCTGGAGGGTGGTTCCAGAGGCCTCGGTCCTGAGCCCCATCCTGTCCTGCTTAAGCTTACATCAGGGAAGCCCTTATGTGACCCATGCTGGGTGCTCTGTCATGGGGACATCTTGACAGTTTGATAGGTTTTATCACTTCTACTTTACAGATGAGGAAACTGATCCTTAAAAGAGGAAAAGCATCTGCCCAAGTCACACAGATGTATATGGCTTGACTGGATTCGAACACCTGACTCCCGGGGTACAAAGGAGAGCTTGAGGGTATCATGGTTATCCCCTTTACAGACAACCACACTGCCTATCACTGGGTGAGTTTTATAGATTTCAGCAACTACATTAGTAATCTCATTTTGCATCCACAAATTTCTATTTTTTTTTCCCTGCAGCTCGATTGGATAGGGAATGTCCTGTATGTTTGAAAAGATAGTTCAGAAAGGAGCCTTTGGCAATCCCCAGGGTTTCTGTACCCAGGATGGATTGGATCATGACAACCAGCTGCAATCAAAGAAGGAAAAAGGAAACCCTATCTTAGAGTGGAAGCTGTTTTCTTGCTTCAGGGATCAAATGTCATGACCCCTGTAACTCAGTCCTAACGCATCCTTCCCAGACACTCTTGAGCTCTCACAATGCATGCTCCAAGTCATGATAGGGCTCAAGGCCTTCACTGGGCTTCATTATCACAGGGTGAAGAGGACGCATTTATTGAAGCAACGGATATTGGTGACCAATGAAATTGATGATCACCATGACCTAGGCTGTGGGTTCAGTGGAGAGTAACACAGGCATCTTCCCTAATCTAACTGAGGCTTACAGATAGTGAAGGAAACAGAAAAGAATCAGATAAACAGATAGGCCAGGCCAGAGAGTGCTAAGAAGACATTAAAACAGGGAGGTCGACATTAGATGCAGAGCCCAGGGAAGGCTTCCTTGGAGAGGTGACACTGAGCAGAGGCCTGCCTGGCCCTGGAAAGACCTTGGGACACATTCCAGGCAGGAGGGTGCTGAGCCCTGGAGAGCTCTGTTTTGGGTAGTCACTCTCATCAGAGTTTCCATGATGACACAAAGGTCACGTGGATGCCAGAGTCTAATTTCAATCAACAATGAATCACGGCCATGCTAGGCACACCAACACCCAACTCCCCAAACCTCCACCGCACCCACCACACCTACAAGGGCAGTTTGTTTGACCAACAGAGAAAAGATTATTCCAAAATGCACTTGGTAAAAACATCTACAGGGAGGGCGAAGTTCCCAGTTTTCTCTTTAAAGAGCTATCATCTTTGGATGGGCAGAACTTCTCAAAGGATAGCACCTCTTGTAAGGATTTTGCTCCTGGAGTTAATGTCCACAAAGTGCATATTTCCCTTTGAAGATTCTATATGAAAGGGACACTGATAAGGGAAATGGAGGCCTTATTGCTGAGAAGCTAGTCAGTATTTGCAAGAGGAAATGAAACGAGCATTGACTGCACAATTCCATGCGCCAGCATTGAGCTGGATGCCTTACCTAGGTTACCTCCTTCAACCCCAGGAAGAAGGTATTAAAAGCCCACTTACACAACTGAGGACATTGGGTCTCTGAGAGGCAAAGCAACTTTCACAAGGTTATACAGCAAGTAAGTGACAGAACCAGAACGAATTACATTTGTTACATGAATCAAATGTGGTGATTACTTACTAGGTTCCAGGCACCTTGTTTGGTGCCTTTGGACTCTGAGAAGTCATTGACTTCTCACTGCATTTCGTTATATTCCTATTCCCATCTAGCAGATGGGAAGACTGAGGTTCAGGGAGGTGAAGTAGCTTGCCTGTGGTTGTTCAGCTCTGAGGTCATAAAGCCAGGATTGAAACCACATATGTCTGATGCCCTCTTTTTTCAGAGAGGCTGATGTCAAGAGTGGGAATGATGGAAATGTTCCATACTAGAGGAGATTAATGAGACATGACTACTAAATGCAAAGCCTGATCACAGACTGGAAACTGTACAAAAGGAGAAAATGCTGTAAAGCATGTTTCGCAGTCAACTGACAAAATTGGAATGTAAATCGTAGATCAGATAAAAGGAGTTGCATCAATTTTGAATTTAGGCTGTTGATAACCCTACTGTGATTATGTGAGAGAATATCTTTATCCCCAGGAAACTCATAGTATTTGGGGATGAAAGACTACGATGTATGCGACTTCTTTATATGTCTCAGAGAAATAAGTTGTGTGTGTGCACGTGTGTGTGCCAAGAGAGAAAGAACAGACGGGATAAAATGTTAACAATAGATTAAGCATATGCTTACTTTTCTGTAAGTTTGAAATTATTTGCAAATAAAAATGTTTAAAAGAGAAGGAGAAAGAGAGAGAGAATTGCCAGCTGTTGAATAATGAGCTTGTGAGTACTTCCTGAGTACTACTTCAAGGTTGGTTCACCTCTGCGTCCCAATTCTTCCCCTCTGTCTGAAATTTCACCATCACAAATCCACTCTTTCAGATTCGCCTGTCTTTAAATGCATATGCCATTATTTGTCATGCACATCTTAATAGATGGAGCTTGAAGTGTTTTTATTAATTGCTAACTGAGATGCTATTCCCGAGTAAATCTGCTTAATGAGGAGAGAAGAGTATTTGTGGTATGAAGTGATGCCAAGTGCAGGGCATCCCTGAGAGAGCTGCGCTCAGCAGCCATGGCACAGCATGGAAAGTCACTGGGTACTAAAAGATGCCAATACTAGAGCTGTGGAGAGGAGGAAGGGGGAAACAGAAAAAAGAGCAGACTATTATGGACAACCTTCACCTGTCAAGCCACGAAGGGCTCATCCAAACATCCCTGTCACGGGCAGGAGTTCACATCTTTTTTTTGTTTGTTTGTTTGTTTAATCTCCTCTGACAAGATATCATTTCTCTGAAATATGAACATATAGCCTTAAAAAATGAATAGCAAATGTTGCTTCAATGGTTACTAAGCCCATTATCACCCTGTATTTGTCTATTGGGTTAATCTTGCCAGTTATAGAAAAAAAAATAAACATAGATAAGAAATAACAGTATACCTATATAGTAGCAAAAATTAAAAATAAGGATAATATTTAATATTGATGAAGATGTTTTTACTTGTTAAGAAGCAGACTGAAAAGTTTTGATTTTACTCATTGTGGAGGAAATGGAATAAAATGAGTGATGATTGGGCCCGATGGCTCACGCCTGTAATCCCAGCACTTTGGGAGGCTGAGGCAGGCAGATCACCTGATATCAGGAGTTTGAGATCAGCCTGGCCAACATGGTGAAACCCCATCTCTACTAAAAATACAAAAATTAGCTGGGCATGATGACAGGTGCCTGTAATCCCAGCTACTCGGCAGTCTGAGGCAGAAGAATCACTTGAGCCTGGGAGGCAGAGGTTGCAGTGAGCTGAGATCATGCCACTGCACTCCAGCCTGGGCAACAGAGCGAGACTCCATCTCAATAAACAAATAAATAAATAAAATGAGTAATAATTTTCGGTAAATGAACTAACAAAAAGTAAAGGTAATGATAACCTGTGGCATTATGGAGGTGCATTCTTTCAATGCCATGCAGGTGAATAAATAAGAGCTTCTGGGACGGCAAGTGATGATATGTCTTAGGAACTGTAAAAATGTTCACATTAGTCAGCATGATAGAATTAGCCAAAGTCATTGAAATGAAAAAAGCAAACAGTTAAATACATGAAAATGTGCATTCTAGCATTATGTTCTTTAAAAATCTGGAAAATAACCTAAATGTCCAAAAATAGGACAAAAGTAAATTATGACAGACAGTTGATGGGGTATTAAAATAACAACTACAGTGAATATGCTTGTTATAGAGTGATTTATGTACCCCAAAATTCACATGTGGAAGTCTTAACTCTCATTGTGACTATATTTGGAGTAGGGAAGTAATTAAGCTTACATGAGTCCATGGAGTGGAGCCTTGATTCCATAAGATTCGTGATCTTATAAGAAGAGACACTGGACAGCTTGTACTCTCTTTTTCTCTCTCCATGTAAGGACACAGCAGACAGGCAGCCATCTGAAAGCCAGGAAGAGCTTTCACATGGCCTGCCTCACCAGAAATTGGATTTTGGTCT